AGTTGCCTGCTCTTCCTAATTTCATTGTAGTGAATTGACTTGGGAGACACTTAATGCTTGCACCCGATACAACTAATTACTCATTAATTTGTTCCGGTTGCTTCATATTTGGCTATTTTTATGTTTCAAGAAGGGGTCGAGGATGAATGTTCAAATTTGGCCTGATTGTCGGTACACGTGTACTGTACTGTGCTTAACTCTTCAACATCCTCCAGAAAGTGGTCAAGATCTCTTGTCAGTGTTTTTTCCGTGCAACAATGTCCCTATGATACGCAGCAAAACCGGTGTTTCCATGTTAAAAATATTCATTGCAATCCTATCCGTGTCTGTAACTTCAATAGAAGAAATAAAATGTCAACTCTCACTGAGTCACGACATTTTTTTTGCATGTTTTTCAATGAGTAAGGTAATACTTATGTCGGAAACTGAGTCATCAACATAAATAACTTGCACAAAGTTCTCTTGGGCCTCAGTTGGATGTTTCCTTTAATGAAACCATCTGAATTACTCATTTCCACCCGAAGCAGTTTTTAGTCAAGGAAAGGAAATTCCATTTAATGTAAAGATGAATGAGGTTTCGATTCCGGTTGTCCAACATCTGGTTCTTCATCGTGTGTAATTAAATGTCGCCCTCTTGTGGCGCATTATCTGCTGAAATTATTTATTCATTCAAGTCAAGCCGACACAATCAGTAACTTGGAATGACATTTCGACAAAAATCTGTTCTATCGATCTATCTATCTATCGATCTATCTATCTATCTACTTTAACCAATAGAGGGTAGTCTCTCCACGTGATCGTGTGCAAAGCGTTGTTGTACAGGTTTCGTTTCAATCAATTATTACTTGTCACACATAGGTTACGATTTTGGTACAGTATTACGTTTGGAAATACTGTAGTTAATTAAACGATTATTTCATATTCATTTTAAAATGGAAACACCAATATGAAGATATAGCCTGATTTTATTGTTTGGTTTCGGCGAGAAGTAAGGAACAGTCTAAAAACAGTGTTCTTTTGATCAGTCACATTTGCAAGTTGCAATGATGCTAACGCCGTATGTTTGATCATGATTTAAGTGTTATGTTTACGTTATAGGGCGTATTAATAATGAAAAAATATATGTTAATTTTGAATTACTCTATAATTATCTTTGTTGTTAGTACCAGTGCTTCCAAACTGGCAGTTTAAAAGCATTGAAAAGATTTGCAGCATGTACTTGTCTCAACTGGTCCGTGACAAAAAAACTGTTTAAGGGCTTCTGAAATATAGCACGAGACAAGAAAAATGGTCCCTATATTTGTTTTGGAATACGGAAGTTAACAACGACAATATTTCTTATACTGACCAGAAGATGGAGACAGCGTGACGCCTAAACAGAACATGTCTGCTGTCAAAAAACAGGGTCGAAGGGAGAGGTTGCAGTTAATTATGAGGCAGATGTTCTGTTAGTGAAAGACAAGTAATTAAAATAATAAAAATGGCCATGCTGAACAACTTTGATGAAAATGAACTTATGTAGAATAAGTTCGAATAGGCAATAGTTCGACTATGAGTGAAGGACTCATGAAAGGATCTTGCCTTTGCTGCTTGTTTACACATGGGACATCCCAGATTATTTATTTTCACTTAACCATCAAAATGCAGATGATGTCACTTCTGGAAATACTTATATAAATTCACAATCAACAATGAACTTTGCAAAAATAAATGAATTAGAAATCAAAATAAAGTATTTGACTAAGTGTGGATAAAAATGCTAACACTTAGCATTTAGATATAATCGTAACATGCTAGCTCAAAACGGCTGGATACACATTCTTGTTCCGGCTGGATGATTATGATTATGAAAATTTAGCAAACAACTGAACTAGTGTGTCATGTGCTTTGTAAAAAATATTTTTTATGGTAATAATAATAATAATAATAATATATGTATTCCTTCATTCTTTTCATCATATTTAAGTTTTGGATTGAAATAAGGCTTCCACAGCCATGGAAGGATCTAATTTTACTGCAAACTTTGAAATGTTATCTGAACAACACTCATGAAGACAAATGTGGCCTCAAAACATGAGCGACTGAAACAAATAGCAGTGACAAGCAGAGTGCAAGTGAGCATATATTGATGGATGATTGCGCCTTTGGAGACCCAAGTTGTGCTTGTCTGTTAACAGGTAGCTAACGTCATTACAGGCGGCCTGCTAGCCTGCTGAGGCAATTAGCGCTCCAGCAGCAACAACACTAAACGTGTTTAAGACTCAATCGCAGTGGTTCTCAATGTGGTTGGCTTCAATAATGCAGTTTTTATTGACAGTGCAGGGTTAACTCAAAGTATTGAATGACATGGTCAGTCAGCTATTGTCATTCTTTTTTGCATTCGTGCTCATTTGGCTAGACAGCGAGGATGTTGCCCACGTAGCAATGAGGAAAACAGTACAATAGTATTTTGGCTCCTATCAGTGGTGAGCTGTCAGGGCCAGCAAGGCCTGTGCTGGCCTCATCACTATCACAGGGACTGACTTACATTAATAACAACATTTATATTATCTTTTCAATGAAGTTCAATTTATTCCCAATAGTTTGTTTTCTTCACTTTAGAATATTTCTTTTGGCTGTACGGCTTCTAGAACATGTATGTGGATGTTAGATTTTTATTGTTTTTTTTTTTTTGTCCGATTAGATTTCAACCATTCTTATGACAATAAAATCTGGCCAGTGCCTTCCAAAACAACGGTGCTAGCTGATGTAACTCAAATTGTTACCATTGTGGACAGTTTCTTTAACCAACCAATCTTAACACCACAATGAACATTTCAATTTTGGCACCGCTCATGAGTGATATTCTGAAGGCAGAGACGTTATTTCATACTGTTGCTTTAATTCTATTTTCTTGCATTTTTGATTGTCTGAAATAACTAACGCATGCATTGCTTTGGTGTTGTGTTCCGATTGTAGCTTTGCCAGCTTTCACAAATGAATAAATCAGCATTGCTGCGTGGAGGTGAACTCTCATTAAAGCTGCGTCTTGGCGCTTCACTGCAGGCGTCCTCACTTTGTTGTTGTTTTCAGCATCACTTTTCTTGGTGGATTTTCTTTTTTAATGCCGCAGCGGGGAGAGAGCCAAGCCTCGGTGCCGTATGGCAGATGAATATTTGATGGCCCTTAATGGACCCCTCTCGCCCTCGTGCCGCCGCTCTGTTTTTCCCACCCGCTCGCCACAGCGCCACGCTTTGGCATCAGTTTTTGGTGCTTCCCTGATGAATTCGATTGCGGTCTGTGCTATGCAGCTCAACAGCTGTGCAGATTTCATCATACCAGTTGGCGGCCCGGCTACAAGGTTGACAACTGGTCGTGATGTGGAAGGCAATGGTCGCGCACAACGTACCAAAGCCGCCACAAGCCGCACAGAGCACACAGCTGGTTGTTTTGCCCTGTCTATGAACTTGTCATCGCCGAGGCCACTGGATCAGCCACCATTTATAAAACACGGCGACTGTGACTGCGTCATCTCGCATACATCGAGCCACATGTCAATATTTATATGCATGGAGTATGAAACATTGTCCACACCAATCCGGTTGAAGAGATTAAGATCTTCTGTGAGGAGAGATATGACCCGGCTTGTCTTTCCAATTAAGAAAGTGACAGTGAGACAAAGCAACGACGCTTTTGCTTGGTGACCTCATCCTTGACACAACACACTCGGTAATTATGACAGAGGGTCACCTCCGACTAAAGTTCCATTGTTGTATTGCTGCTGCTGAGGGAATTAGTCTGTGTTTAGGAGCCGTATGGGTCTCAGATGAAGGGCATGAGGAAGAAGAGCGTGCTCGGCCTTGCGCTGGACCGTTGCATATCTGTGGTTATGCGGGCATATGAATGTGTTTGTGTGATGCGCACCTGTTTTATATTGTCCCTGCATGTTTAAGCCTGTTTATTATGCACAATCACAGCTGCCCCTCACATCACACTGCTATTTCTGAGCCGCCCAGCAAGTGTGGGGCAAGGAAGGACAAAAGTATCACTAAGTGGTGATTTCTCTCGAATAAGTACAGAACAGAATGCCATCGTAGTGCACAATGACATTGGAATGCTACTCATTTGGTTTGATACCAAAAAGAGATACCGTAGATACTAACAAATGTGCAAATGAAAATCATGAAATGATGTGTCCGGAGTAGTAGCAGCAATTTGATTAAAAATTGTTGAAATAATAAATAAAAATTATGATGTGTAAAATGAAAGACTATACGGTGACATTGCAAAGTAGTGAGATATATTCAGTGTTATGTTTCTGAGCATGATGGTAATATTGCACTTGTTGAATTGCACACTTGTGAGTAACAAACAACATTCTTGTCAATATGTGCAATATGACAACCACACACACCGAAAGTCAAGCTTATTATCATTGCCTTAATGGGTCTGATTTTTCAACAATACTAATGCCAAGTTGTTGTTGACACTAATTAATTTAGCACATTTTGTTGAATAAAATACTACCCAAAGACAGCTAGGATAGGCTCCAGCAACCCCCACGACCCTTGTGAGGATAAAGCGGATCGGAAAATGGATGGATGTGTGTTTAATAATAAAATGCTATTTGATTCATTTTTAATCATAAGGGGAGTTCTTTCCAATAATATTCCACTCTCGTGTTGCTAAATAAGTAAATATGTTTCGAAACACTAATCAGTGATGGTATAGAGCAAATTATAATATTCTTAATGTTATTTTGTGTACATGTGATCAGTTTAATGCATGATTTAATGCTCTGGCTGTCATCACTGCATTCGCTGTAAAAAACTGACATTGAATCACTTTGAATGAATATTTGTTCAGTTAAATTCAGCCCTAACCTTGAGGAAAATCCTTTGCCCCTGACAAGTGAACATAATCCATGTTGTGTTCAAACCGAACAGCAAAGAAAGAAACAAAGAAGAAAAACATGTGGTCGGATTTCTCACATTAATTTTAATGGCTTCTCTTTTACGCAGGTGGCACCCAACACCAACCTGTACCACGCCTCCTCGAAACCTCCAGCGCAACAACAAACAGGAACATGGACAGATGAACACTGTCGCCGTCTGACGGGAAAGGTCTTAACGGTCGACAGGAGTGCCTTCCACATCGGTCTAGCGTTACACTCAAGGTCACCTTGGTAAGTGGAAAGTGATTGAAGATCAGTGGCCACGACGTTTGTCACATCAGAGATGCACAATTATTTACACTTGCACTCATGATATGCAAAACAAGACCCCAATGATAAATTCGGCTCCGACAAAGAGATGCTTTTGTTTTAATGAGGATACTGTCAGAAAGATATTCATTTCACCGTAAGTAAGTCTGGTTTTGGTTTTACTGTGGTGGAGAAATGCAATGGAGGCTTTTTTTTTTTTTTTTTTTAAACACCAATGGAATCAAACGAAAACTATATGTCAAGAAGCAACCATAACACCTAAAATGCAGATTTATTTTTAACCTTCAAAAAGGGGGAAAATGATTTTTGTTCACGCACACATGACTGGAAAATGGCTTTATCGTGCATCATGTTTTTATTGGATATTTTTTCGATTGAGTTTTGGGCAGAGGTGAGGTTTTAGTGATCACCTAGTGCAACTCCACGTTGGTGGGACCACCACGCTGAGGTGTGAAGGGCTCGGGAGGGGGCCGGCAGGACTGAAGATCACAAACTTTGGACCCCCTTCACAATAGAGGTGTGAATTAGCACCAGAGCGTGAAGACATTGGGAATAAAAGGAGAGGAATGTGGACGCGCAGGTGATGGCTGGGTGATGACGGTTCATCGGGGGGAGGTCGGGACGTCTTGTGGGTCACTTATGACCTTTTATTTAGATAATGACAGAGGTCATGATGTGAACAGTGCTTCACATGTACATGAAAATGTTGACTTCAGCTTTGGGATTGTAGGTGCCAAAAGCAGGTTGGGTCACATCCATTCCATCCTCCCACACTTCACCACAAATGTTGATTTTGTCACCAACTGCTGTCCACGTCCACTGCGCTTCATCTCCAGTATATCCACTTGGTCAGTCGGGAGACTGAATTAAAAAAAAAAAATAGGCATGATCTCACTGCTGGAGACATTTCCAGATCCACTTATGTTGCAAGTGCTGATTTTGTCACCCGGGTAGAGTTTCGTATGTGCAGCAGACAGAATTTGTTCAGGATACTTTGACTGAGATGATCTGACGCGTGTGACGCAAGACTTCTTTACTTCCTTTATTCACGGCAGCATTCTGTGGTTAGCCGTCGTTTCAGAAAAAAAAAAAGTGTCCTCTTTCAGACTGTTCCTTTGATTGGTGTAATATTTTCATGGAAGTGCCACTTGCTGCCAGGCAGCAGACAGCATGACGTCATTCTCTTTGTGCTGCAGCATTGTGTTGCCGACTGTCTGTAATTTGTCTGAAGAGCTGCCAGCAGTTTGATTTGTCTGTCTGCCCGGTGTCTGCCAGGAATCCCAGCCTGGCACTGCGCCCAAGGACATCATTTGTCATCAAAGGGTGAATGCAACAATGTCAAGCTAAAATTGAAAGATGTTATATATCGCAGTATATAATTGCTCATAAGTTATATGATCCCTGCAGATTCAGCGAGACCGTTGCAGGGCATGTTGTAAGACTATGCACGACATTTACGGTCTTTCGAAGTCTTTTTGGTACATTTCGTAGATCAGAATTGAAAATTTGCCAAACAGTAAGTGCTTTTCTCAAAACAAGTTGTGCAAAGAGCAAAACATCAATGGTTCCCCTGCAAAAGGCATTTTCTTTCTCAAAATCCTCAGTTCATCTCTCATAAGTAAATATTTGTGTCACTGAACATCAGTGCCAACTGTTTAGTCATGTTGGCAATATAAGAGTGTACTCTGTAGGGAGATGTTCTGATATAAACTCCAGAAAAGGTTTTGATGACAATTATTCGAAAGAGTTTCATACATGGGGAAGGTTGATTGCCAAACTGTCTCATTGTGATACCGAAAGGAAAAGACAGCAGTGCATTGCACAAAGAAAAAAAAAACTAAGCGCCCCAAAAAATATAAATAAATAAATAAATAAATAAATTAATTAATTTAAAAAAAAAACAATTTTCATACATTTTGAGTAACTTGACATAAGCGGTTGAGAATCCCGGAAACAGCAGAGAATTGTATGTAGTCCATTTGCATGGATGTTGCAAAGCATTTGCAAATTGTTCAGAGAAATGAGAAATTGCTTGGTTGATCTGCACAGTTGACGCAGTGATGTAAAAATTCAACAGGTAGTTAATAAAAATGAAATTCTGAACTGAGAAATCGACCAAAGCAACCTGAGGAAAACCCGTAATACCGACAACTGGTGGGAAAACAATTGGGCAAAGGCTAGATAACTAGCTAGCTAGCTAGTTAGCTAGATAGTTAAATAGATAGATAGATAGATAGATAGATAGACTTGCATTAAGAATATACAAAAAAAAACAAGATAAAAACAAATAAAATGAACAGCTTAGATAGATAGACTTGCATTAAGAATATACAAAAAACAAAACAAGATTAAAAACAAATAAAGTGAACAGCCTGCATCAAAGAATCTGTTAACAGGATATGTCTCAATAATTTTGAGAATTAACAGTGTACAAAAAAAACAAAACAAGATAAAAACAAATATAAAGAGCAGCCTGAATCAAACAGGATGTGTCTCAATAATTTTGGCCGGCTGGTGTCTGGAGGTCACATGACTCGAGGCCTACTTGGAGAAGTAATCATTCTTTGCTGTCTTTCCATGTGCGCACTGTTGCAATGGAAGTCTTATTCGTCTGAAACCTTGCCCACATGATCGTCCTGTTTACAGTTGTCTGATTTTTGCTTGCGGGCGCAGAGTTTATAGTCAACACGAGACACAACAGCTGTCCCTTTCTGGAGGTAAAAGAGAGTTTCCCGCCTGCCACCACTTTTCAGCCCGGTGGTGCAGATTTAAAAACCCGTTTATTCAGTAGCTTCGATGCGACAACTGCCCCTGCTGTTGTTGGGTTGTACCGATCGAGAGCAATCCCTCACCACTACTCGCTTCTCAAAGGGAAACCTAAACAGCCACCCTGCATGACCTGAAAGGCTTCCCATTGTTGAGGACAATAGCGTGATCATTCCTGTGTTGCAGGTGGCCAGGAGCCTCCTGCTGAGCCAGGGAGAATCCCAGAGTCAGCACATTAGCTTGTCAAAGGAGCAGATTAGGCAACCGGGGATGGCTGGAGGGAAAGAATCCCCACAGAGACCCCCATGTGATAGCTTTCCAGCTGTAAATTCGTATAATTAACTAATGTTGACTAAAATGTGTGAAAATGGCACCGAATTATTCATCAAAGCAATTATAACAATGTGCTGGATTTGTGGGAATTCATTTGTTTATCAATGCCCGCACATGATGAGTTCACGGGATGAACTTGGCCGTTCTCATGATATTCAATGCAATAATTTTGGACTTTCCAACAAGTGATCGACTGATTAGCACGTCCGCCTCACAGTGCAGAGGTACAGGGTTCGATTCCGGTTGCGGCCTTCCTGTGTGAGGTATGCATGTTCTCCCCGTGCCAGCGTGGGTTTTCTCCGGGTACTCCGGTTTCCTCCCGCATTCCAAAAACATGCATGGCAGGTTAATGGGGCTGTCTAAATTGTCCCTCGGTGTGATTGTGAGCATAAATGGTTGGTTGACTATCTGTGCCCACCAGGGGAAAAAAAAGCATATGTTTTTAATGTTGATTTAAAACCATTCCTACATGGGGCTGACTTAACTTCCATTGGCAACTTATTCCATTTACATGCAGCATAACAGTTAAATGCTGCTTCACCATGTTTGCTTTGAAACCTGGGCTTCACTAATAGACATCAGAGTCCTACTGTGTGTTTATTCAATTAGCATTTCAGTATTCAGTTGTCTTGGATCTCCAGAAACATTCACAAAAAACTGTCAATGAACCCTGAAACGGAACGCTGCGTGAGCAAACAAAACTAAGATTGAAAAAAAAAAAACAAGACTAAGAGTTAGTTAGAAATAAACAAAGATGACCTCCTCCTTTACAGCAGCAAAGGTAGAGCTGCTTCAGAGGCTCGAGGTGGGAGTCGAGCCAAAACTTCACAGCACATTTGTTTGGCCTTAGAAATCAATCAATCTGTCTTCGTATGAACTTCCCGGGAAAGACTGACCCAGAAACACTCGCTCAGCTTCTTCACTGATTATGTTGAGTTTCTTCTCAGCAGGACTCAAACAGCCAGCAGTTGCCTACGGGCGAGTGAAAGGGCAAAAAGACAAAGAAATGTGTTTTTTTTTTCTCTTGCCATATGGGACGGCCTACATTAAATATGAATGTTCATCCATATGTTGAATCTTTTCCCATGAATATTTAACATTCCGGCTATGCAGATATGTGAGCTTTACATTGTCTCACATCACCCTCCATCACCCCATGTGTCTTTTTTTTTCCTCTTGCTGCAATCAATAAATGATAGCACTTGACAATCAAAAAGCCTGCCAGGATGAAACCAAATCAAACATCTTTCACTGACCACCTGAATCCAAACATGAAAGAGCAATGCCACTCCAGGACGGAAATATTGATCAAGCGCCATGGCGCGGCGTGTTGACTTCAAGTGCAAGTGAGCGCGTCGTGTGCTCACGCTGTGGTGAGACAGACACCGGGGTTATGTGGAGGTAGGGGTTACAGGTTCAACCTCCTCGCAGCTGTGGAGTGAAGTCTGAAACTTTCACAGAGATTCAATTCATCTTTGCTTGCTACATTTTCTCCACACCGCCGCTGCCTACATACAATAAAACAATAGAAGTTGGTTTACATCTGGCTTAAAAACTAGCATCATTTTTTTTTTAAATGCCCCGAGGATGTGATTTGTGTGTGGATTTTGTTTGATTTTCATTATCCAAATTCTCTCCCACATGAAAGGGGACCCTTCCCCTCGATTAATAATTGACATTTTGTGACTTTCCCTTCTCCTCGTGCCACGCGCGCGCTTTGATGCGAGCACTGTTCTTTTATCAGCGTCGTGCCATGTATTGATCGCCTCGCAGATAAGCACAATCAAAGGGATCCCTCGTGGGGGAGTCAACACATGGTCACATCACACTCCTGGAATGTGCTTGGGACTCCTTGTTTGGCT